AATCCCACTTACCTGCCCCTCCTTGCGATCACCCTTGTGTAGGAGGCATCTGGGCAGGTGGGGTGCTGCTCCAGAGCAGTGGGTCCTCAGGACATGAGTTTGCAGGGGGTCCCTCTTGTGCAGTGGCTCTCCCTCATGCAGGGCAACCCCTTGCAAGACCCGCTTGGTTTGCCCTCCTGCCCCCGCTCCAGCTCTCTGTGTGCTCAGGGGCCGGGGCTGCTCCCGGCAGAGCTGGGGCGAGGGGTGCGAGGCCGGGGCTGCGGCTGCCTCTGCTTCCTGTGACGTGTGTGCGCTGCAGTGGGGTTTTCTCGATTTCACTCGACCACCACGCTTCTCGGCTGTGTCTCTTGGGGGACAAAGCCTATGAAAATCCCCGAGGGCACTCAAGGCGCTATCGTCATTGCATGGGATTTGGCGGGGGGTGGGGAGGGGGAGGAAAGAGGGAGGGATGGGCAACACACGGTGGGACCAGAACCAGGACTCAGCAGTTGAGGCTGTTACAAGCACCGTGCCCAGCCAGGACAAACACCAGGGGTCCCAGGGTCCCTCCCAGGGCCATGCACTGCCCGCAGGACACTGGGCGGGGGATGTGTGCCCCCCAGTGCAATGCTGTTCCATGGTAAGTCCAGCCGTGCCAGTGCCAGGCTGGGTTATGTGTGAGGGGTAAAGGCAGCCCCACACAGCTTTGTGGGGGTGGGGAGGGAGGATGGCAAGGAGGGGGAGCCCCTGAGGTCCCCAGTGCTGCTTTCTCCTCAATGTGTGATTGACACCAGCGTAGCTGTGGCTCCATCTTGAAAACCTTCCTGATCAGCGTCCTTCCCCCATCTGTCACCTCACACTCCTGGCTTAAAAAAAACCACAACCAACCAATCAACAACAACAAAAAAAAAACCACCAAGGAAAAAAAAAATCCCAGTAGCTGCTCTGAGCATCCCAAATCAAAATTTTTGGTTGGTACACCTAACAGAATTACCTGGCACGGCCAAGAAGAGTTTGATGCCATCACCTTCCACCAAGGAGCACGTTCAGCTGTGAGTGCAGTGTCCGCAGCTGGGGCCAGTGCTGGTGCCAGCAGAGCAAAGCTGCCTTGTTGAAGAACTGTGGTTTTCTGGGTGACGTCCATCACAAGCAGCACAGCAACCCGGCAGAAACCTCAGCCCATGGCTGTGAGAGTGGCTTTTTTTTTTTTTCCATCAGTGACCCTAGAGAAACCTTCAGCTTAGCTGAGCTCCTCGAGACTCACCCTGTGCTGCTGATAAAAGAATGCACACTTTTAGCAAAGCAAAGATTTAGAAGCTTAGGCTGGGAATGCCATTGAATGAACCTGTCCCAAGGTTTTAAGCAACTGGGAATTCCATCCTAAGGATGTAGGAGAGGTGGAAAGTGCCAGTTCCATCCGCTTGTCCATGCCCAGCATCCCAACTCCAGACAAAAGAAAGCGGTCTAGAAAACACTCTGGCATTTTAGAGGGACCAAGTCTGACCTCAGAGCTACCCCTCGAGCTGTGCCAATGCACCCACCTCAGCTGGCGGTGTCCAGGTCCCACCCCGGCAGCCAGCAGAGCTTTGGAAGCCCAGCCCAGCCCAGCCCAGCGAAGCCTAAGCTCAAGCTCTGCTCCTGGATTTGGCTGGTATTGTTCTTGCCACCCAAAGAAACATTTTGTTCTTTATTAAACTCATTCCTCAACTTTTATTTAGCTTTGATTTTATTTTTATTTTTTTTTAACAGGAAAAGCAAAACACTCGCTCATGTGAAAGCAAGCTTACTTTTTCCAGTTATCCTTCGGTTAATAAATATATATCAACCCACAAATCTTGCCTTGTTGCCTATGAACCATCATGGCAACAAAGCTCTCTTCTTAATCACTCCCCCTTCCAAATTGCTAAAAAATCTCATCTATTTACTCTCCTGGGTTCCTTGTCCACGGGCAGCTGTAGCTTTGAACTCTCCTGCTCCACATAGCCAGTACTCAGTGAGCTCACATCAACACCTGCTGTGGCATTATTTCCTCTTAACTAATTTTATTGTCATTTTAATATTGTGTTTGCCTTTCTTTTGGTCTGTTGCTGTATTTTCATAAGGGAACTCAAGGAAGAAGCATTTCTCAGCGTAGTTAGCTGGCATTAAATCCGAGTGCTGCACAGACATCAGCTCCTCTTGTGTACGTTGCTTTGCATCCAGCACTTGCGTTAAGCAGCAACAAACTTCACAGGTCTCTGGTGGCCTGATCGCTTTGAAAGTCTCCTGTCTTCTATAGACTCAAACTTGTATTTTTGTTCATTTAATCACTTTGTCACCTCACTACTTGCTGATTAATACAACTGGCCAATTCTTTCCATTTTTCACCTTTCATTCAGTTTACAATTCATGAAATGAATGTCTCACCTCCTGCACAGACCTCCCCAAAGGTTGTCACAGTCACAGCGTGAGGCTGCAGGAGTCCAGCCGCAGCACCTTTAGGTGGCCTCTTCCAGGGGACGGGGCACCCGGCCGTGCTGCTCCCAGGCGGCTGCATGGGGGTGGCCAGTGCTGCCCCTGCCGCGGGGAAGCATTTGCCTCTCACAGCAGGAGACACCAGAACTGACAAAATCGGGTCAAGCCAAGACAAACACCAGGAGCTCACAGGGTAACAATGAAACTCTGTTATAGCTTTATTTAATAACTGGTACAAAGTCCCCCTTAGGCAGAGCCTCCCAGTCCCATTCCCTACCTGAAATGGAGCAGAACATGAGCGTGACCCTCGGAGGAGCTGGCTCCCAGTGAGTCAGGACTGCTCAACACTTAAGAATGTTTTGCTCAGCTATTGAGACAGTAGTAGCCTGACCAGTCATCCCTTTTTTCCCATTAACAGCTAGATCCTGGCATGCAGCAGGCATTCGCCTCCCACCCTCTGAGACCCGGCCAGATGTAAAAAGGCAGCAGGATTGTGAATATCATGAAGGCAGTAAATAGTACCTGCACAGAGGCATTCACTGCTCACAATTCTGACCTGACTCACACAACTGGCCATCTGCCAGCCACCACTTCATTCACTGGCATCTCCTGAGCCTCAGGTAATACCCTGTGCAGACCTCTGCCCACAGTGGCGGCAGCGGGACGCGGAGCTGGCAGTGCAGGAGATTTCTGGATTCCCTCTCCCCCGGCAAGGGGTGCTGCTGCCTGTTTCACAACCTGCTTGATGTTAAAGATTCACCTGTGCCAGGGTAGAATAGTGACTTGGTGTTAACTGCATCTGGCCCTTCTGCAGGAGAGGCAGAGGGTCAGCAAGGCAGTCTGGAAGCCAGGGCTGCTCTAGTTTAATCCCTTGTACACTCGGTTAGTGTTTACTTGTTAATTGCTTTGCCCTTTCAGGAGGCTCAGGTCTCTGCTCCTTCTTAACACACATACAGAGATGAGACCAAGACAGTATTTCTGACCACTTGTTTTCCCCAGGCTGCCTGGCGTTGCCAAGAGTCCTGGGACACAAAGACCTTCTGGTGGGTTCTGTGCTCCAGGCACAGCTCTGCGCAAGAGCATTGCCGGCTCCAGTGCCTGGAGTTTCACATCATCATGGTCTTGCTTTCCCACGTCCCACAGATGCCATACCAACTGCACCACAAGGGTCCTTTAGCAGAAGCACAACTAGAAAGCAATTCTAAACCTCACAAAGCCACAAATTATATTTAAATGAACAGGGGAGACAACGGCTGTCATCTGGATTGATATACAGCAGAGAAAGGAGATGGCATCAGCATGTACAGTAACATGACTTACTAAGACTGCGGAATGTTAACGAGTTTTAAAGAGGCTCTGATGCCAAGGGCATACAGAAAGGACCAAAGTAATGCCAAGTACAGACTACCAAGGAGGTGGCAGCTCAGATGGGCATGCACAAGTTAGAGAGAACAGTTAATGCCATGTTGAATGAAATGGTAGATTCTGAGTGGGTTCAGTGGGGGCAAGTGGAGTTGTCTGAATCCAGAAGAGGGGCTCCTGCCTAACAGGATACTTCCATGGTTTGAGGTGCATCCTGGAGGTCAATTCCATCTGGGGTTCCAGCACTTCCTTCACCATGGTTGCTAGTATGAGACCGGCTGCGGATGCTCTCGCCAGAGCCCACGCTAGAGGAGGAGTGAGTACGGGAGCGCATCAGCCTGGTCATACTAGCTGCTGGCACTGCAAGAAAGAACAAGAGTGGGACTTAAAAAAGAGGAAGTTCCTAGAGCAAGTATCACAGTCACTCAGATATGTGTCCCCGGGTAAGCACAGAGAGAGCTATACCCTCAGGAAGAAAACTCACTCTTCACTGCCAAAATTAAGTCTTTGCACAGCTAAAGCAAGATGTTAAGGCCCAATTTCAAAAGGTCCACAGTGAGCAAATGCCAGAAGTCTAACTGATCATTTGCAAGCGTGGTCATGGTGAGTGTCTGTGCAAACCAAGGCAGCTGTTGTACAGATGACCTTTTGAAAGTCAGTCTTGTCACTCTAGAGAACCACAGAGCTGAAGTCATGCAACAATCAACAAAATACAAACGAAAGGTGAAAAAACCATAGCATACACATTATACAATGGATCAGCCTAGCCCGCAGCAGGACATGCCGAGACAGAGCAATGCACCCGGAGAATCATTCAACTCAGTACACAGACTTGGGCCGAGGCGGATGCACAGTTGAAGGTACCTGACTCAGTGCTTAGGTGGCTGAGCTGCACATAAGGGACTGGAAACAACATGAGACAAGGAAAGGGATGAATACAGGAAAGAGCCAATTAGTTGCGGTGTGTGTCCAGCAGCCACACTGCTCCTGGGATCCCCAGCTACTTTCCCTTCCACTCCCAGCTCACACACTGTACTGAAAGCTCCCAATACTTGTGAAAACAGCTACTAATGAGCATCTTGGGGAGATGCCAGGCTGACTTAAAAATCTGTCAATACCAGATCTCTTCAATGCCTTTAGCTGGAAATTGCAATGTACCTGGTGGCCTCTACCTCCCCACCAGACACACCACAACTGCTCAACAGAGATGTCATTTGCCTACATTAGGGAAACTGGGGTGTACTCTGTAACTCCAGATACAGGGCAGAAATTTGTGTCTTTCCTTGAATTGACAGCATCGGGTTTCTGCCAGAAGCCATTACCTTCCACCTGTAGTGTCAGCAGAGGCAGGTCCAACTGTTTTAGCCAATGTGCAGAGGGCACAAGAATAGCTGTTGAGGAACTGACTCGTGCATTTTTAGAAATGGCAAGCTGCTTCTCCCTTGATCTCCCCAAGAGAGGAGGCCTTGCTGGCCAAGCTCAGCAGCACCAACAGAGTCTTGTCCACCAAAGCTGGGAAAACCATTCTGGGACTAGC